ATCACCGGCATGTTGGCCTCCATGTCCATGGCACCTGGCACTGTCGCGCACGCCTTCTCCCACCACCTTCTCGCGCAGATCGTCGAATGCCACTCATGGGGGGCGGCCATTCTTCAAACCCCTGAGTCTGTTGAAGAGCTGTATTTTTTTCTTACAGAGTTCAACGTTTTCAACGGCACCCGCTTCTACAACCCGCATTTGTACGACATGGATGCTAGCGACCATGCTTGGGGGGCTTCTTATTCAGCGCCGGATGGTCGTGTCGGCTCGCTCTCCTCCCCGCTGCCTCTAGCCCTCTTGGGCTCGCCTAGTACCCTTCGCGAGCTGTCCGGAATCTTTTGGTCCCTTTTGGCCTTTTCTATCGAAATCTGGCGTTCGCACATCTTGCTCCACCGTGACAGTCAAGCGGCCTACTACATCCTGCAGAAGGGAGGGCCTCGCTGTCCCGAGCTTACCTTCATATGCCGCGTGATTATTCAATTGTGTGTGCGCCATATGATCCGTCTTACCGTCCAATGGATTCCCCGCGGGCTGAATACCGAGGCCGATGCTCTATCCAAGATTGAGCTCCACGATGACTACTCCTTCACCCGGCCTTAATTCCTGCTGCTTGAGAGGCATTGGGGGCCTCATACAATCGACTTGTTCGCATCCCCTGCCAATGCGTAGCTCGCTCGTTTCTGCTCCCTCGATTTCTCACACTCTGCGGTTGCACAAGACGCCTTTTCTATCAATTGGGGACACGAGAATTGCCTCGCCTTTCCTCCACCCACCCTCATCCCAGCTGTCATAGCTCATGCTTGTCACTCGCACACTTCTCTTACTCTCGTGATCCCATATTGGCCCAGTACTTTTAGGTGGCCTTTGCTAAGCTTGGACAGCGTCACTTGGGGCCCGGAGGTCGTTATGATCATTCGCCTTACACTTGGTTCTATTTGTTTACGTATTGGCAGTGACCGTTACGCCTTTAACGGTGCCGGTCTTCCGAACTCTCCAATGTATGCGCTTCGTTTTGCATTCAAATCATATATGATTATATTTTACTGCGCAGGCTCATATATTGGTCGATTATTGTCGGACCTTCTCACACTCACCGTCGATCTTTGGGAACAGTCTACCCTTCGCACTTACAAACCCTATTGAAGACAGTTTCGAGCCTTCTGTTTGGCGCACTCACTTCCCTTCCTTCCTGCCACCGACCTGACAGCGGCCCTCTTTCTGCTGCACTTGGTCCATCGCGACACTACCGTCTCAAATGTGCGCACTGCGTGTTCCGCCATATGTTGCTCCCATTGGCTGGTTTACGATATCTGCGATATCTACTTCTCGTCGCATGATCCAGCCACTTTCCAGCGGGGCCTTATTCCCCTCCTCATGTCGCAACCTTCCTTCGTTTCTCCGATCTCATCTCCCTCTAGTGGCACTAGATCGAGTTCGATCAGGACTGCATGTGGTTGTTCATCCCCCGTTCGAAGACCGACCAAGCTTGCACTGGTGTTTGGGTCCCAGTGGTTGCTTCTTCTGCCCGCTACTCTCCGGTGTCGCGTGTCCAACAATTCCTCTTCCTGGCTGGCTATTTTCCACGGACCCTTGGCCCCCTTATTCGTATATTTTAGCTGGGTGCCCGAGCTTCCCCCTCATATGGCCCTCCATCGTACGCCGCTTTTTGGGGTTGGTGTCATGATGCTTTCTCCCGGGCCCTACTGGGCACCCATTCTTTCCGCAAGGCGGCTGCGACGATCGCCGTTGATATTGGAGTCCCCCGTCGGCCTTTGAAGGCCCTCGGCCGCTGGCGAAGTGATACAGCCAAGGAGCTTTACATTACTCAGCTTGACCATGAGCTAGTAGCCGCTTCTTGCACGCTACAAGATCCTACTCGCTCGAGCACGAACGATCTGTACCTGGCCACCAGGGCACATGTTAACAGGGTGATTCACCCTGTTTACTCTGATTTTCAGGGTGCTCAGTGTGTGTTAGTCTGATTTTTCAGACTTAAGTAAAATTCTACCCTTCCGTTTTCAGTATACACTCTCGTTTTGCCCTGTGAAATCTAGAGTGGCTTCGCTCCCCGCCTTGTGTAGAAAGGGTGACCCTAAAATCTCCCCGGACCAGCGAGTACTGTACTACAACCCCCCAGCCTGTCCCCTCGATACCTGGCCGTGCTGGGCTGCCTCAAGAAAGAAAACGTTGCACGTGTGTGTGAACTGTTTACAAAATTTATTGGACCAATGTTAATTATCGCAGCCAGTGGACTGAGTTGAGAGAGCGCCAAGCCAACTGTCAGAACTACTACCTTGCAGACCCTGTCGCACTGCGCAGCAGAGGCCTTTTGCGTGTTACTGTCGTTGCAGTAGTTGCGCCAGGCGCATCCAAATCTGACTGAAGTGATTTGCTGTATGCTCGGCTTGTCGCGAGTGTTTACACGTGTGCACTGCTGTGACGCGAACTGTGCCCAGCGCCCACACACCCGTAGCAGGTAGAGATTTTGTCAGAGTAACATTAACTCCAACCATGTCTGAAATGGGTCGCAGTTTGAAACACCCTGTATAAACTAGGGTGCCCACGCACGGTACCCTGATGCGAAAGGGTAGGGGTGGGAGGGTGCCCTGACTAGAAAGGCTTCCCAAAACCTTAGCCAGAGCCCTACTGGCCACCCTCGAGCGCCACCGCCGACGACCTCCCACTTGATGTCTCGTTTGACCTATGACGACTGCACTGCACACTCCTCTAAGGTCGTGTCACAATTTAGTATGAAATTTAAGACCAGTGTGTAAATTTCGTCTGAAATCTCAGACTCCTTGAACATTTTTGTCTGATGGTCAGACCAAACTTTGAAACCCCGTCTGATTATCAGACAACCCAAAATCCTAGCTGAAACCCTGGTCCCATTTAGCTAACTTCTAGCAACCTCACGACTTATTTCGATACGGGGAGCATAGCATAGAATACTAGTAATAGCGCTAGCATTAAAATCGTATCAAGGAAGTCCTTCTATAATCGCTTGACATGCTCATCATGAAAGGAAACCCATGAACACTAGAAAATACTGGACACTGCTCGACACATTATATTCATTGTAAGCATGAAAGCTACGCATGAGTAGCGTCGATTCCATTAATTAAATGCGGATAATTGTCATAATCTTAAAGTCAAAATAGGTTAAAGAAATTACTAAACACCCTAAAATCTATATTATACATAATAACATTGTTATATGAGTTTATTTAATATGTATTGCGTAACATTTCAGCATTAGCGCACCTGCGAAATACTCCGTACCAGATGTTCTTCGTCACGACTTTCGCCAGGGCGTATACGAAGCATGTGGGGGCAGTTCGGAAACGTTGAAACTGACAGTTACCCGTTATGGAATCTGCCGAATACAAATTGGTAACATGTAGCGATAACAGGTACTACGCTGGGACTGAGGGCTCGTTTCTAATCGATGTCATCCAGAAAAAATATTCATCCGAAAAAATGTTGGAAACCCATCGCAACCGTTGAAATTCAAAATAACGGTTGCGATGGGTTTCCAACATTCTCGAATGACACTTTCTCGGGATGACACGTACTAGAAACATGCCCTGAGTCAATCTGATGGTTTTTGTGAAGCCACAAATGTGACTGCTGATGTCATCTTCTCCGAAGATGGTTACCCGGGAGATAAATATGTTATGAATGAACAAGCAGAGTAGCGCGGAAATGAATAACGAAGTGTTCACTCAATGAATGACGATACAAGGGATGGCAAGCCAAGATATAGGAACACCAGAGCTAGTCTAACCTTGCGATGGTAAGGTTTGGGAAGGAGATCGAAGGGTCTCGAAGTGACGAAGCGAGGCCCGGAGAACTCCCGAAGGTCGAACTAGAAGGTATGGAAAAGCCGAGGCGGTTATGTCAGAAAGGTCTGGAAAAGTCCCGAGGCTTCGGAAGTGTTCGAGCGTACGCGCTAGCAGTACCGCTCGGTAAGGAATGGAAAATTCCTTACAAAATACCTAAAGAAATAACAGGGAGTTGGCAACAAAGCACCGCACTCAACAAAGCACGAACTCCACAGAATTGGAATGAAACAACGTGATACTGAACAGAACTGGAATTTACGGGCATGCAAGTACCGCATGCGAAGAAGCACTATACATGGTGCACGCCGGAGGCCTAGCTCAATACGTGGCCCAATCAGAAACCATCGCCCATTAGCGTTGTCACACGGGCAACGGCCCACTCGACGTGGGCCGTGAACAGAGCCAGCAGTGCAGCGTCATCATGACAGCGGTGACAAACATGCGGCACAAGACGAAAGATGTGCGCCGCAACCGTTTTCGCCACAAACTTCCAGCCGCGCTCGGAATAGCGCTCCGGCGAAGGTCAGCGAGCCCAGGAACAGACTCGAAAACAAATTCCCACAATCCACGCAGTAGTTATTGTTTCGACACGAACCTTCAATTCGTAATGTAAGAAATATTTAGAACACGCCCGTAACATGTGGAGCTGAAATGCGACTCCAAAACCTCACCCCATTACACTGAGTATAAAAGGGAGCAAACCAAACCAGAAAAACTCACTCAACATCTCACCCGCCAACCACCACTCTGGTGCTACACCAGAGAAACTCACTCTCGCTTGAAAGCGCCGAAACTTAACACAGGATAACTAAGTGAACAATGTCTCGCCAAAATATGCCACTCAAACCTACCCCGCAAAACATCAAAATGGTAACATTCGTGCCCGTGCGAAAGGCGCACATGCCCGTGACGATGCCGTGCGAAACCCCTGCTCGTTTTTGTCTACCGGCACCCTTAAAAGTTGTGTTCCTCTGTCAGGCTCAAGGTGTAGTTGCAATGAAGGCACGAGGTTATACAGTGAAGGGGCTGACATTCTAGGGCGATAACCTGGGGACAATGTGGCAACAGTGCCTGGCGGGTCTCGGCGGAGGTTTGGTCCGACAAATTATGCCGAATCGAATGGGGGGACTTGAGAAGTTCGGGTGTACGTGCTAGCGTATGAAGCAGTACGCAATGCAAATTCCTTACAGGCATCCTCGGCCACGGACAACCTCGAATGGTTTTCAGATTGCCACTTTTTTGTGATGACACCTGAGATCATCGCCATGGCTGCCGTCTCTCCTTCCGACCCCACCTCCACGTCAGCGGCTCTCTTTCCGCCGAAATGACAACAAACTCCAAACCTGCCCGCGCTTCCCACGCTGGCCGCTCCGCCGTCCCCCTGCTCCGTGCCGTCCGCTCACTGATTGCGCCCCTTGATCCGCAGAGATGCGAACTCGTGGCAGCTAGAGGTTGGCTGGAGGACGCTGTGACCCTGCTGTGCGATCGACTGGAAGAATTCCGCGCGGCGAATCCGAGGGCGGATGGCGGGCAGGGCAGGGACGGGCAGGGCAGGGAAGGCGGCAAGACCCGGGGGGGGCAGAGCGGGGGAGGCAGGGAGAAGGGCGCAGATGAAGAAAGAGGGCGCCGCGTGATTGGGGCGGGGAGAAGGGGGATGAGAGGAGGTAGTGGCAGGAAGATCGGGGCGAGGAGCGGGAAAGAGGAACTGACGAGGGAGCGCAAGGCGACGGCTGCAAGTACAAGTGCAAAACCAGGAGAGGGGGAGCGAGGACGGACGGAGGAGAGGGAGCGGGCGATGGCGAGGGCGGTGGCGGTGGCTGCGAGCGGCGATGTGGGCGCGCTGCTGGCGTGCGAGCAGTGCTGGAGGGCGGCAGGGGTGCGGGAGAAGGGGGGAAGGGAAGGCGGGGAGGCAGGATGGGAGCACGTGGCTCGCCGCTTCCCGCCTGCCCTGGCTGCCATCGAACTCGCTGCTGCCTCGCTGCTGCTCCTCCTCTGCCGCTCCCTGCGCCACGCCCCCACCCCTCCACTCACCGCACCACTCGCATCCTCTGCTTCCGCCCCTCACTCCCCCTCCGCCGCTCACCCCCCTTCCTCCCGCCAGCTCCCTCTCCTCCCCGCGCACCTCGTCCTCCCGCTGCGCGCGCCCTTCATCCGCCTGTTGCCTCTGCTGCTGCGCTCCCCCTGTCCGTCCGCGCGCCTGCTGGCAGCGCGCGCCCTCTGCGCGCTGCTCTCGGCCGTGGCCAGGGGCGTCACCCGCGGGCAGGGCTGCTTCCAGTGGGGGCGCGCGCTCAGGGGGCGGGGGGAACAGGGCGGGAGGGGGGAGGCGAGTAGAGGGGGGCTCCACGAGAGAGGAGGGGAGGTGAAGGTGAGGGCAGGTGGGGAGCGGGAGAGGGGAGCAGAGGTTGGGGAAGGGGCGGAGGCGGCAGAGGGAGGAGTGCAAGGGCGTGAGAGGGAGGAGAGCAGAGGGGGTGGCAGGCCGTTGGTGTATGGTGTGGTGCGGACACACACAGCTGCTGAGGTGCGGACGCACACAGCTGCTGAGGGCACTCTAGAAACAGCAGTTGGGGCAGACGGTGCAGGGGGGGCAGCGGCAGCAGCAGCAGCAGAAGCAGCAGAAGCAGAAGCAGCAGCGGTGGACAGCCCCGGGGTGCGGTGGGTGGTGGAGTCGTACGCGGTGCTGCTGCCACCACTGCACCGCATGCTCGCCCACTCCGACCCGCGCCTCATCGCCGCTGCTCTCACCGCCCTGCGCCTGCTGCTCGCACTCGGTGAGACTCGCGCCTGCAACTGCTTACGTTCCCAACGTTCATGTTTCCTCGATAAGGGTCGCTGCGCTGCTCTCCTCTGCCTGCACATGTCCTCATGAACCTCCATTCGAGCTCACGCCTGTTCCCCCTTGGCACACCTGCCCTCCTCACCCGCTTGCGGCCTTCACTCGTACACCCATTCGTATGTCCCTCTCGTACAATCGCCACCCCCACCCCCACCCCCATGCTGCGGCGTCACATGCTTGCGTTCCGAACGTCCGTGTGTCGTCGCTTAGGGTTGTGGCCTGGGGTGCGCCTCTCGGCGTGCAGCTTGCTGGATGTGTTTCCCCTCACGCTGACTCGCGTGCTCCTTCACACATCCGCTCCCCTCACTCACCCCCGTGCCCCTTGCACGCCCTTCTTTCCCCCGCCTCCAGACCCGCTGCCAGCCGCCAGTCGCATAGCGCGCATGTCCCTCCCCGCCCTCGCCCACCTGCTGCAAGCCCACCCTCTCGCCCCCTGCTGCGCCGGCGCTTCACCCGCCCCTGCTTCACCCGCCCCTGCTTCACCCACGCACCTTCAGAGCGGCTCTGCTGCGCTCACTGCTGCTGCCGCTGGCAAGGGCGAGGGCTGTCGGATTGGTGCAGAGGGGCAGGCGAGGCAGGCAGAGGTGCAGACACCAGGGAAAGGCGCGGAGAAGGGGCAGGACGTGGAGGACCCACGGCACTGCGGCTGCTGTGTGCTGGCCCCCGCCCCTCGCTGCCCCTGGCGTCGCTGTGCGCGCCTCTCTGCGTGCATGCTGCTGGCGCTGGCCGCGTCCTCCTCGGCGCGCCTCTCCGCCATCCTCGCCCTGCCCCCCGTGCTGCTGTGGCTCGCTGCCGCCGCTGCCACCACTGACCCCAGCCATGCCAGGCAACATGGCGGTAGCGGCAGGAGGGGGGAGGAGGGGGGGCCACGTGATGATAGTGGAGTGGCGGGGGCGGGTGGAGGAGAAGAGAGCATGCGGCAGAGGGAGCAAGCAGGGGGAGTTGATGACGCACACATTTCCAATTGTGCCACCCACCGCTCGTCTCCCTCCGCTCTCCCCTGGCAGCAGCGAGTGGCAGCGCTGCTGGTGTGTCTGGCTGCGCGCTCCCTTGACCTCCTCCTGCTCGCCTCCGCGCCGCCCTCCATTGCCCTCCTCATCTCCGCCGTCAGGGGCGGGGGCCGTGGGGGCATAGGGGACACGGGCTGGCTAGGAGACCAAAGCGACGGGGCAGAGGCAGGAGGGACGAGAGGGGGGGAGGCAGCAGGTTCATTGAAGCGAGCACATGGAGCATGCGATGGCCGTGACAAGGGCAGTGAACGTGAAACGGATGGCATGGACTCATGTGCATGTGCTTGCACCTGTGCATGCGCGGGCGTGCATGCATCTGTCACTGCACCCATGCACCTGCGCATGCGGCCGCAAGCGCCAGCCCACCGCCCCCTGGCAGCGGTGCGGGTGTGGGGCGCACATGCGCTGGGCGCCATGGCGGGGCAGAGGCGGGCAAGGAGAGCCATGGCGCAGGCAGGGGGCGTGCAGGCGCTGGTGGCGCTGCTGGGGGATGCACTGGCGGGGGAGAGTGGGGTGGGGGGGACGTGGATGGGGGGAGATGGGGAGGGGGGTTCGCAGGGATTGGGGAGGGAATGCTTGGGTGAGAGGGGAGATGAAAGGGGTGATGTTGGCGCGGAGCGGGATGAACCGAGGGAGGTTTGGTGTGGCAGGGGAGGGGGCGATAAGAGGGTGAGGAGGCGAAGGGGCAGGGAGCACACAAGCATGCCCACTAGCAGCAGGCTGAGCCCTCCTTTTCATGTGTCGCCCACTCGCTCGCCCCCTCCTCGTGCAACCCCTCCTCGTGCAACCCCTCCTCCTGCAAGCGCCCCTCACACTCTCAACTGCGCCTCTCATGCCGCCAACACGTCCCCTCTCCCCTCCACCCATCCCACCTCCGCCCTCCACCCCCACCACCACCACCACCTGCTGGCGCAGCTCACAGCTGCCACGGCCGTGGGGCTGCTCGCCTGCCACTCAGACCCGCCGCTCCCCTGCCTGCCCCCCGCCGCCACCCCTCTCCTCCTCGCCATGCTGCTCCGTGCCGCTGCGGCGCTGCCCTGCCCCCCTCCCTCTCACTCCACCCTCCTCGCTCTCCCAATCCTTCCTCTCTCTCTCCCTCTCCCGCTCTCCCCCCTCCCCCACTCACCTCCGCTCTCCCCTGTCTCCTCGAACCCCTCGTCGTCTCTGCTGCGCGCCCTCAACACGCGAAGGCAGCAGGTGGCGCTGGAGGTGCTGCTGTTGCTGGCGCGCCCCAGCCAGGGGCAGGGGGCAGGCGGGGGCCAGGAGGAGAGCGAGGGTTCGGGTGGTGGTGAGGGGGAGGGGGCACGGGCCGTGGCGGGGGAGGTGGTGAGGGCGCTGAGAGGGGCGGCGGGGGGCGTGGGAGGCGTGGAGGGGATGCAGCACGAGCAGGGGGCGTGGGAGGAGGAGGGCGTGCTTCATGGGGACAGGGGGCAGCAGCAGCAGGGCTTGAGGGAGCAGGTCGGGGTGCTACGGCAGCAGGCGGCACTGGTGGAGGTGATATCTGCGCTGGCAGAGACAGAAGCCGGGCTGCACGCAGCAGTGGCTGCAGGCGCCGTGGGTGCTGTGAGCGGCGTGATGGCTGTGGTGGGAAGCGCAGGGTGGGAGGGGGTTGAGATGGGGCAGGGGAGAGGTGAGAGGGCGGATGGGAGCAGGGCGGTGGGAGAGGAGAGGCGTGGAGGGCAGGCGGCAGATGAGGAGGGGGGAGCAGGCGGAGCAGAGGAGGAGGAGGAGCGGTGGATAGAGAGGGAGAGAGCTGAACCGCATGATGGTGAGAGAGGGAGAGGGGGGGGGGACTGGAGAGTGGTGATTGTGGAAGAGAAGGGGGAGGAGGAGGAAGACGAAGAGGAGGAGGGGGAAGGGGAGGAGAATGAGAGTGAGGAGGCAGGCGATGGGTGGAGTGCGGAGGACGAGGAGGATGAGACGCCTCTGTGGCACCTGTGGCAGATGCACATTGACGGCCACGTGCATGGGGATGGGGATGGCCCTCTGCCTGGTGGGGCGAGTGGGAGTGACGCTGACATGGATGGGGGGCAGGGAGGGGAGGGGGAGGAGAGCGAGAACGAGGAAGAGGAGAGTGGGAGTGGGGATGAGGGTGAGGAGGGAGGGGAGGAGGAAGGTGGGGATGAAGCAGAGCACGAGGAGGAGGCAGAGGGGTGGCAGGGAGGGCAGCGCGGAGAGGTTGAGCCGTCCATGGCACCGCTGAGCCTGCTGCAGGCGCTGTACTGGGGGGGAGGGGAGGGCGGGGCCAGTGGCAGTGAGAGCAGCAGCGAGGATGAGAGTGAGGGGGAGAGTGAGGGGGAGAGTGAGAGGGAGAGTGAGGGGGAGAGTGAGGGGGAGAGTGAGGATGAGGAGAGTGAGGAGGGGAGTGAGGATGAGAGTAAAGGAGAGAGTGAGGGAGTGAGTGGGGATGTTTATGACGGGGAAGGTGAGGGCAGGGCAGGCGAGGAGAGTGGTGCACCCGTTGCAGGTAGCAGGCGGGGCGCTGTGCTCGCTGGGAGCGAGGAGCACATGCACTCAGGGGTGAGTGCGAGGTGGGAGGAGCAGGGTGCGGAGGATGGGGCGACGATGGAGGTGGGAGGGGGGGGCAGGGCGATGGCGATGGAGGTGTCACCGGGGGCTGGGGGAAGGCAGGCAGGGCGACTGCATGCTGAGAGAGCGCATGCCGGATGTGGGGTAGTTGGCACACTGGCAGCAGATGCATCAGCAGCAGCAGCAGCAGCAGCAGCAGCAGCAGCAGCAGCAGCAGCAGGGGGTGATGGGGCGGGAGCTGCAATGAGGTGTCCGCATGGCAGCCGGCAGTGCATGGTGTGGCTGGCTGGGTGGGAGGACGGCAGGGGGGATGGTTCAGGGGCAGACGCAGGGCGTGGCAAGGGCGTTGATGGGGAGGGGGCAGGGCGCGCGGAGGAGGGGTGTGCTGCCTGGCGCAGTGCGGTGAGGGGCGATGCGAGGGGCATGCATGACGCACGTGGGGGGCAGGACGGAGAGCGAGGGCAGGCGATGGGCCGGCAGGGCGGGGCAAAGCGCAAGGCCGATGCGGAGGAGGGGCAGGGGTTGGGGCGAGGGGGAAGCGAGCGTGCTGCTGGGGCTGCCTGCTGGGGAGGGGGCGAGGCGACAGGCGTGGGAGGGGAGGCTAGGGAGGGGAGTGGGAGCGGGCGGACTGGGCGAGGGCAGGAAGGTGCGTGTGGCGGAGAGGGAGCGGCAGCTGCAGTGTCAGCAGCTTCACACGAGGCAGCTGCAGTGTCAGCAGCTTCACACGAGGCAGCTGCAGTGTCAGCAGCTTCACACGAGGCTGCAGAGCATAGCGGGTCAGAGGAGCAAGGGGCGATGGGAGCAGAGGGAGCGAGGGTGGTGAGTGAGGAGGTGCGGCGCGTGCAGCGCGTTGTGTGGCTGCGCTGCCTGGACCTGCTGGCGCTGCTCAGCTCTGACTGGTCTGCCTGCTCGCACATGGTGGCCGCCGGCCTGCTGCCTGCTCTGCTGCTCTGCATTGAGCGCCATTCCTGGGGCAGCCACCCAGGGACGGGTGCGGGGGACAGTGCCATGCGAGGCGGCAGGAATGGTGGGGGCAGTGGAGTGGGTGGGGAGCATGCTGCTGGGTGTGCGGCGCAACGAGGGGAGGCGAGTGGTGGAGGAGCGGGTGGGGGAGGCAGGGCAGCAGGTAAGGAGGTGGGGGCGGGCATGGGGATGGCAGGTGGGGAGGGAGGGGCGGCGGTGGAGGTGGTGAGCAACGTGGCGAGGGTGCCGTGGCTCACACACACGGCTGCTCGCGCAGGCGCGCTGGCAGTGATGCAGGGTGCAGTGCGGCGCATGCAGGGAGGGGGGCGGGGTGTGCATGGTGAGGTGAGGAGGCATGCGGTGCAGGCAGTGATGGCGCTGTCGGATGCCCGGTATGCCGTGCACCGTTGACCACCGCTCTCGCCTGCGCTTCATGCTGCATTGCCCCTCACCATGCTGCATTGCCCCTCATCTATGTCAGCTCAGCAAGTACCGGGCCTTGGTCGGGTTTAGGATGTCAGGATGTAGAGTGTTCATTCAGTATGCCACTGGCGGAGCAGGTCAAGCGAGCAGCCCGTACTGTGTAATTAATGACCATTGCAAGGGGCACATAGCAATGCTGATGTTACCACTCAAGATACACTCGAAAACAACTCAAGATACGCTCGAGACTAACTCAAGATACGCTCGAGAAAAACTCAAGATACACTCAAGATAGACTGAAGATACACCCAAGATGCACTCAAGGTACACTCAACATACACTCAAGATGCACTCTGGATACACCAGCAGCCTCTTGAGTTCTCCTTGTGGTGCCATGCCACTGCCACATCCTTGCAGGCTGGGCGCAAGTGCAACATTCCAGCAGCGCCAGTCACAGGCAGTGTGTACAGGCATGCTCTATTTGGCTGTTGAGGCCCGTCCTGCCATGAGTATGCGCGCAGCAGCAGCAGCGGCCCCGAAGCCATTGTCGATGTTGACGACTGTGACGCCCGGCGCACACGCGTTCAACGCTGCCAGCAGCGCCGCCACGCCCCCGAACGATGCCCCGTACCCCACACTGCAGGCAGGGCGATGTGGGCAGCAGAGAGGGAGGACGCATGGCAGCAAGGGTTGAAAAGAGAGCAGTAGGACGTGAAGGACGGGGCCTCTGATGCAAGATGGCGAGGGAGACGAGGTGCTGCATTCTGGCTTGTTACCTCTGCATGTGCTGCGCGGTGAAGAACCGTGGTGCACACACCTGGTTGGCACCGCAATGACGGGCGTGTCCACCAACCCTGAGATGACACTTGGCAGCGCGCCATCCATGCCCGCCACCACTATCACCACGTCAGCCTGGCGGATCCTGGGGAGCTGCACACAGGGCATGTGGCATGCATGCATGCATGTACATGGCATTAATTTTGTGCATGGGGCAGTGATGCATGCATTTATGGTGTTTATGCATGTAACGGGCAAATCATTTGTGCATGTGCCACATGCTTTGGGTGCCCTACAATGGTGGCTGGTGCTTTCTGCTGAACATGCCAGTACCCCACGAGCAGCGTGCGGCCCACGGCAAATCAGAGCTGAGGGTGTCATGCCGTCTTATCTGGGCGCGGCTCCACCTCTCAAGACTGTCTCTCACTGGTTTGCCATGCGTGGTCAGGTGAAGGCTGCCTTGGTCTTCCAAAACATACTGCTGCTTATTCAACAGGCCAACTCGGCCTCTGCTAACCTCGGACTCGACAGAATATGTGATGCGCTAACCATGTTGCGTTTGCTCTCTTGGTGCTTGATGAGATCGGGCAGAGCTCGTGCGGCAGAGCTAGTGGGGCAGAGCTCGTGGGGCAGAGCTAGTGGGGCAGAGCTCGTGGGGCAGAGCTCGGGCAGGTGCTGAGATCACTGTTGGTTGTAGCATGCGCTGGTGCATTGGTGGCTGCTGATGAAATTCATGCTCTCTCAACGGCTTCACTGCTGCCGCTCACATAGTACCACATGGCAGCACAGCAGCACATAGCAAAGCCAGCATTGCACACACCGCATTGTACCGCACAGAAGCACCTAGCGGTGCACAGCATCCAACATAGCAACACTCTGCAGAACGTGCCTGTGAGATGACGCGGTGCAGCACGTGCCTGTGAAATGACGCGGTGCAGCACGTGCCTGTGAGATGACGCGGTGCAGCCCCGCCACGCCCACGTCCGCTATGAGCGCCACCTGGACGCCCATCAGCGCCAGCGTCACCCGCGCCTCCTGCATGCGCCACAGGGGGGGGCATCGTGGTGTCGGTGCGGTATGGTGGGCGTCACGGTGTGGTGGGCGTCATGGTGTGGTGGGCGTCACGGTGTGGTGGGCGTCACGGTGTGGTGGGCATCACGGTGTGGTGGGCATCACGGTGTGGTGGGCATCACGGTGTGGTGGGCATCATGGTGTGGTGGGCATCACCGTGTGGTGGGCATCACGGTGTGGTGGGCGTCACGGTGTGGTGGGCGTCACGGTGTGCTGGGCGTCACGGTGTGGTGGGCGTCACGGTGCACATCTTGGCATGGTGTCGCACGGTGCTTATCCAGAATGAGGCTCTTGCACATTGTCATTTCCTTCAAAGAATGCCACCTCATGCCTCTATGCACACTTCTCCCCTCACTTCCCTCACACTTCCCTCCTCAATCCTCCCCTCACTCCTCCTCTCACTCCGCCCCTCACTCCTCCCCTCCCTCCTCTCACTCCGCCCCTCACTCCGCCCCTCACTCCTCCCCTCACTCCGCCCCTCACTCCTCCCCTCACTCCGCCCTCACTCCTCCCCTCACTCCGCCCCTCACTCCTCCCTCACTCCGCCCCTCACTCCTCCCCTCACTCCGCCCCTCACTCCTCCACTCACTCCTCCCCTCACTCCTCTCACTCCGCCCCTCACTCCTCCCCTCACTCCGCCCCTCACTCCTCCCCTCACTCCGCCCCTCACTCCTCCCCTCACTCCGCCCCTCACTCCTCCCCTCACTCCGCCCCTCACTCCTCCACTCACTCCTTCCCTCACTCCTCTCACTCCGCCCCTCACTCCTCCTTCACTCCGCCCCTCACTCCTCCCCTCATTCCGCCCCTCACTCCTCCCCTCACTCCGCCCCTCACTCCTCCCCTCACTCCGCCCCTCACTCCTCCACTCACTCCTCCCCTCACTCCTCTCACTCCGCCCTCACTCCTCCCTTCACTCCCCCCTCACTCCTCCCCTCACTCCGCCCCTCACTCCTCCCCTCACTCCGCCCCTCACTCCTCCCCTCACTCCGCCCCTCACTCCTCCCCTCACTCCTCTCACTCCGCCCCTCACCCCTCCCCTCACTCCTCTCACTCCGCCCCTCACTCCGCCCCTCACTCCTCCCCTCACTCCTGTCACTCCGCCCCTCACCCCTCCCCTCACTCCTCTCACTCCGCCCCTCACTCCGCCCTCACTCCTCCCCTCACTCCGCCCCTCACTCCTCCCCTCACTCCTCCCCTCACTCCGCCCCTCACTCCTCCACTCACTCCTCCCCTCACTCCTCTCACTCCGCCCCTCACTCCTCCCTTCACTCCCCCCCTCACTCCGCCCCTCACTCCGCCCCTCACTCCTCCCCTCACTCCGCCCCTCACTCCTCCCCTCACTCCGCCCCTCACTCCTCCCCTCACTCCTCTCACTCCGCCCCTCACTCCGCCCCTCACTCCTCCCCTCACTCCTCTCACTCCGCCCCTCACCCCTCCCCTCACTCCTCTCACTCCGCCCCTCACTCCGCCCCTCACTCCTCCCCGCACTCCGCCCCTCACTCCTCCCCTCACTCCGCCCCTCACTCCTCCACTCACTCCTCCCCTCACTCCTCTCACTCCGCCCCTCACTCCTCCCTTCACTCCCCCCCTCACTCCTCCCCTCACTCCGCCCCTCACTCCTCCCCTCACTCCGCCCCTCACTCCTCCCCTCACTCCGCCCCTCACTCCTCCCCTCACTCCTCTCACTCCGCCCCTCACCCCTCCCCTCACTCCTCTCACTCCGCCCCTCACTCCGCCCCTCACTCCTCCCCTCACTCCTGTCACTCCGCCCCTCACCCCTCCCCTCACTCCTCTCACTCCGCCCCTCACTCCGCCCCTCACTCCTCCCCTCACTCCGCCCCTCACTCCTCCCCTCACTCCTCCCCTCACTCCGCCCCTCACTCCTCCACTCACTCCTCCCCTCACTCCTCTCACTCCGCCCCTCACTCCTCCCTTCACTCCCCCCCGCACTCCTCCCCTCACTCCGCCCCTCACTCCTCCCCTCACTCCGCCCCTCACTCCTCCCCTCACTCCGCCCCTCACTCCTCCCCTCACTCCTCTCACTCCGCCCCTCACTCCGCCCCTCACTCCTCCCTCACTCCGCCCCTCACTCCTCCCCTCACTCCGCCCCTCACCCCCCCCCTCGCTCCTCCCCTCCCCCCGCTCCTCACCTCAGCCACGGGCAGGTCAGTGGTGCCGGCAGTGACCACCACCACGTGCCCATCCCTTCTCCCGCCCGCTCCACCACTCTCGCCCTCCTCCCTCCTCTCTGCTGCCGCTGCTTCTTCTTCTTCTGCTACGACTGGTGGCAGGTGGAGCACGCGGGCTAGGGGATGGTACACGGCAGAGGGGAGGAGCGAGCACACCTGGTGGGATGGGGAGTGCAGCATGGGTGCAGCATGGGTGCGGCATGGGTGCAGCATGGGTGCAGCATGGGTGCAGCATGGGTGCAGCATGGGTGCAGCATGGGTGCAGCATGGGTGCAGCATGGGTGCAGCATGGGTGCAGCATGGGGCGCATGGAGCAGAGGACAAAGAGTGGGGTGGTGCCGTGGCGGGGCAAGGTGTCACAAGGCCAAGGGCGTGCAGGTAAGTCCGCAAGCATCTGCCTCATACAAATTGCCTTTCACTTTTGGGAGCAACCTCCCAAATCCCATCGGCCACCGTGTGCTGTCAAAAGGTTTCTGAGCATTTTAGGCACACCACCATACCTACACACTCCACCGCACCTGCTGTGCAGCCTGGGCGTCCACCGCACCTGCTGTGCAGCCTGGGCGTCCACCGCACCTGCTGTGCAGCCTGGGCGTCCACCGCACCTGCTGTGCAGCCTCGGCGTCCACCCGGGTGGCCATGACGGCACGCTGCCCGCCGCGCTGCTCCATGGCGCCCAGGATGGAGGCCATCTGCTGCGCGCTCTTGCCCTCGCCGTACACCACCTGCTCCGCGCTCCACGCGGCCACCACCACAGGGAGGGTGAGGAGTGCGGGTTGGGGGGGGGGGCGGAGGGGCGCGAGTGGACAAGGGCGGGAGGGAGTGGGTGTGATCACGTGCTGAAGTGAGAGGAGAGGAGTGAAGACGAGTGGGGCAGGGGCGGTGCAGCGGGATGCGCTGGCAGGGAGCAGCAAGTCAGCAGCGAAAATGGTTGGGCCAGCATTTGAAAACGGCTGGCACGGCCATTTCCTGACCAGGGCGCCACCTCCCCTCGGGCATCGGCTGACCTCGGGCATGCCTGTGCGTGACTGCCTGGTGTGGTCGATGCGCGCAAACTGCTCCAATGGGTCCACTGGGTCCACTGGGTCCACTGGGTCCACTGGGTCCACTGGGTCCACTGGGTCCACTGGGTCCACTGGGTCCACTGGGTCCACTGGGTCCACTGGGTCCACTGGGTCCACTGGGTCCACTGGGTCCACTGGGTCCAATGGGTCCACTGGGTCCACTGGGTCCACTGGGTCCACCTCTGATGCCGGGGGGGGAGAGACCACATGCACAGAGAGACATCACATGCACAGAGAGACATCACATGCACAGAGAGACATCACATGCACAGAGAGACATCACATGCACAGAGAGACATCACATGCACAGAGAGACATCACATGCACAGAGAGACATCACATGCACAGAGAGACATCACATGCACAGAGAGACATCACAAACACCATTACAGGCATACAGTCAGGCGCGTGGTCACAAGCAATGCCCAGAATGCTCCAATGCAGCCACATGCATGCGGTCACACACATGCATGCATGCAGCAACATGTATCCATGAGAAAGTGACAATAAGCATGCCTCTCCGCCTCATGCCTCTCCGCCTCACGCCTCTCCGCCTCATGCCTCTCCGCCTCACGCCTCTCCGCCTCATGCCTCTTCCCCTCATGCCTCTCCCTTCCTGCCGACCGCCAAGCCTTCCCCAGCCCGCCAGCCCGCCTGCCCGCCTGCCCGCCTGCCCGCCTGCCCGCCTGCCCGCCTGCCCGCCTGCCCGCCTGCCCGCCTGCCCGCCTGCCCGCCTGCCCGCCTGCCCGCCTGCAGCTCATCGTCATCGCCACTGCGCGCCCCGTCTTCCGCCTGTCTCTCACCTGCTGCTTCCGCCCCATCGTCCGCCTCCATGCGCGCCGCGCACACTCTGCGCGCGCTATTGCGCCTGCCTTGGCGCAAGCGGACAGGCTTCCAGCAGGCAGCGGCGCACGAGGCGGGGCGTGCCTGCGCCCCCGCGCGGCTGCAGGCTCTACCGCACGACTGGCGGCACGGGGTGGCGGATTGCTCGAACTGGTCGGCTCTGGAGGTGCATGTCGGGCGGCAAGAGACGGCAATGCCGCGTGGTGCGTGGCAGTGAATGGCAGTGCATGGCGGCATGTGATGGCGGTGGCAAGTCGAGAGAACAGACAGCGATAAGAGGCGGAGGAGGAAGGAGGTGAGGCGAGCGGGCAAACGCGCTCCGCTGGTTCGCCGCGATAGGCGTGCAGGTAGCGGGGAACGCGGAGTGAATGCTTTCTGCGCTATTGGACAATGCCAATCAGTAGAAACCACTTTTCAGGACCTAGTCAGTGGTCACCACTCCAGCAGCACTACATGATCTTCACGTCATGAATATTACTTTAGGCCATTAGCATCTGGTCTGCACTGATATACATAACATTTAATTCGTTTCCAGAACTCCAGCAGATGCATTAGTGCAAGGTCTTAATGTTGTAAATGTGCTTTGAAATCTTACACACTTCCAACTAAAAAACATGTATTGACATATACATGTTTGTAATTGTAATTGTACTCGTTTCTGACATTTCCTGCAATTTTACGAGCCGCCATCGCCAACGAGCAAGGCACAACCATGAGAATTTCGCGCCACCACATTTCTCCACATTTGTTGCCAATGCGGCTCGACTGCCCTGGCAGCAGCACTCCACGCAATGTTGGTGTGGTGCGGAGCAAGGGCATCACCCCAACCAACCACCCTTCACCTCGCATTCGGTTGGTACACTAACTATTCGTTAATGTCGGCGGTTTCGTTTAGGGCGGGAACGATTGTTTCATTTAGGGTGACTGTAACCCTATACAGTCGTTCGCCTGAGAAACCCACGCTCGACGGGACTTGCACTCCATGCGACAATACAAACCTGTATTCGAGGTGAGTGTAACAAAAAGCGGACTGTACGTGCTATTTAATCGAATACTTGGGAGTACTAGCAACTAGATCCTGCTCGCCCCCTCCATTCACCCACCTAACAACATCGCCTTTGCTTCGTCCCTTTCGTCCGCGACCTCTCGGCTCATAGACCGAAACAGACTAAAGCGTCCACGAAGGAACCATCGAATGCGAGCAGCCCTGCTGCATCATGGCTCGCTCCCTCTCGTCTCTCGCCTCCCCGCCACTGCCGCCTCCCATACAAACGCAACCCCCGCGTCCTCCTCACTCCTCGCACCATCCCCCACCCCCCCTGGTGCCCTCCACATCGCCCCCTGTACAACCCCCCCTGGTCGAGCAACCACCGCCGCCGAGTCAGTCCCCCTCGTCGCCAGTGCAGCCGCCCAGCGTGCCGGCCGCGGCGAGCAGCGGCCCCGTGGACGTGGCGGGGCTGGCGCCGTTCATCGCGGGCACGGCGGCGTGCATGCTCGCCTTCTTCGCCGTCGGAATCCTCCTCTCGTTCGCGCTGCGCTGCCCGCGCCTCCTCGCCGCCCTCCTCCCTAATTGCCTCCTCGTTATTCTCGTCCGCGACGTGGACGATCCCGACGGCACAGCGGGCCGTCGCACGCCGACGTCGCACGGCGACAAGAAGAGTCGCGGGCTGGATCCTGCGACGCTGGAGACATTCCCAATAGTGACCTTCAGGGGTTTGGCAGGGGGCAGCGGCGGTGGAAGGGCCGGCGATTGCACGGCGGATAGCGACAAGGAGAACGGGCACTGCAGCACCGCGGCGAGCTGTCAGCCCGTGCGACACGCGCTGCCGCTGGGTGAAGCGCCTGCGGCTTGTTTCGGCGAAAACCGAACGGTCAGTAACTCGGTTACTGAGCTCGCGGGAGACGGGCTCGCTGCGGGAAAGGGAGTGCTGTGTGCGGGAACGGGAGGGGCAGAGGCAGCAGCGGGATTTGGCGCGGGGGAGCGGGGAGCAGCGGAAAGAGGCGCGGAAGGAAGGGAAGTGCAGGGAGGGGCAAGTGAGAGAGAGCAGGCCTCGGGGGGGATGGAAGCACCAGCGGGAGGGGAGGAGTGCGGCGAGATGGGTGCGGTGGAGTGCGCCGTGTGTCTGAACGAGTTCACCCACGGCGACCAGCTGCGCCGCCTGCTGCCGTGCGGCCATGGCTTCCACGTCAGCTGCATCGACTGCTGGCTCGCCTCGCACACCACGTGCCCCGTGTGCCGCACGTCCCTGGAGCCGACGAAAGAGGTCGAGGAGAGCCGCTGAGGTCTTCGCCCCGCTGAGGCACGGCCGCTGGCTCGTCGTGGCTCGCATCTCACTCCTCGCGCCCCCTCTGCCGCACGCCCCGTACATTGGAAGTTGTGACCAGAATGGAGGGCGAGTGTGACGGAAGCGGTGAGCACGGACGGCGCCCGGCCGCGATGTTGTGCCGCTGAGGGGGGCGCAGCAGAAATGGAGAAATGAAGCGCTCGCTCACGTCACGTGTGGAGTGTAGGCGAGGCGCACCTGGCGTGCTCTGGCGCGCCCGAGGGAGCAGCGCACCTGGCCAAGGGGACTGGGCCGCTTCGCTCACCGCGCGGACGGCTGAGAGGAGGAGACGTGGTGCGGTGTGGGAGGAGGCATCTGGAAGGAAGAGAGTGCGGGAGAGGGTGTGTGAGGAGGCCAATGCGGGTCTCGTCAGTGGCTGTCTCGTCAGTGGCTGTCTCGCCATGGCGTGCTCTCTGCGACTGTGCGCCTCACCAACGCTCCAGAAGGCTTCGCCTGTCTCCCAAGTGGGTCTATATCGCTGGTGCTTCTGCCGGCCCATCGCTGCCACGCCCATCCAAGCAGCTCACGCACTTCCCCCACCCTCACGCCCCGCCAACCCCCTCCACCCACGCCCCTCGCCTGCTGCGCTCCCCACGGGTTCAGCTGGACCCCATCCACACGCCCCATGCCGCCGCCACCTCTCCCCCCACAGCGCTGGGCGCGCAGCGGCGACAGCAGCAGCGGGCGCAGCGTGGGCATGGAAGTCGGCAGCACACACACAGGGCTGGCGCAGACCGCCAGGGGGATGCTCAGAGCGGAAGGCGCGCTCGTGGGCGCCGGGCGGGGAGGGGAGGGAGGGAGCACGGCTGAGGTGCGGAGGAGGTATGCTGGGGGGAACAGATTAAGTGAAGGGTGGGCGTTTGGGGTTCAGGATCGTGGTAGATTAGGGTTGTTGCTGGGTGGATGGTCGGAGCTACGGTGTTTGATGCGCTACGAGTGATGCGTGAGCCGAGTGCTGCTTGGTGATCCGCCCTATGAGCGAGTGCCTGAGTGGGGGCGGCCCATCAAGTGAGGGACTTGCAGTGGGAGGGCTCAGATGAGGAGAAGGTCCTTGAGGAAGCCTTCAAACTTTTGCTCTCAACGACAGTTGTTTTCAACGTTGTTGTTGTAATGTTTTAACTCCGTTGTAAGCAGAAAGAAGCATTTGTCCATTGAGCTGCATAAGGGAACCATTTTATAACAAATACAATGCTAACAAGCTCACATGCTTCTCCAATGCCTCATTGGCGGCAGCTGCCAGGTCACCACATCAGCTGCCAGATCATCACATCAGCTGCCAGATCATCACATCAGCTGCCAGGTCATCACATCAGCTGCGCTCGTGGAAGTGGAATGCGGGCCGATGTGCAAGCAGAAAGAATGACCCGCCAGCAGCACAACCCTGCTCTCCCGCCTTGTCGCCTTGCCAACACCCACCGCCAACCATGGGCCATGTCGTCGCCTTGCCAACACCCACCGCCAACCATGGGCCATGTCGTCGCCTTGCCTACACCCACCGCCAACCATGGGCCATGTCGTCGCCTTGCCTACACCCACCGCCAACCATGGGCCGTGTCGTTGCCACGTGCCCGCTACTACCGCACGTGCTGCTGCCACCCACGAGCCATCACTGCCGAGCCGAGTCATTGCAGCAGGGCAGGGCAGCCTGTGTTGGACCCGTCACGGCCACTTGGGCTTGCTGCCCTTCTTTGCCTCACTGCGCTTCCTCTTGTGCCCACTCAAGTGCCCGCCACCCTGCCATCCTCCCTTTCCCCCGCCCTTCTCCTTCTTGCTCCCACCGCCCTTCGCCTTCCCTCCTCTCTCCTTGCTCCCCTTCCCATCGCCCCAGGCACTCCTCCTCTCGCCACTACTCTTGCCCCACCTCCCCCCCTCCCTCCATCCCAGCCCCCTGCAGAACCCCCCCTCTGCCCCCCCCTCTGCCCTCCCCAGCCCCTCCCACCGTCCCCATAGCTCTCGCTCTTCCCACTGCTCCCCCGTCTTCCTCCCCCCCCTCCCCACAGCTCCTCATCCGCCTCCTCCTCCTCATCCCAGGCAGACCGCCCGCCCTCAAATCGCTGCCTCTTCCCTCTCTTCCCCCCACGCCCCCCTCCCTCGTCCTCCCCTCCCTCCTCCCACCTGCCTCTTCTCTTCCTCTCCTTCCCGCGCCCTTTCCTCCCATCTCTCTCCCCACCCCCCTCATGCCCGCTATGATCTCCCCCGCCGTCATCGCTGTGCCAGAACCGCTTGTGCTGCCCCCTCTGCCACTGGCTGCCTCTCCCTGTGGCAAAGCGCGCCGCAATGGTGATGTTGTCCTCGATGCTGTCCTCCTCGCTGTCCCCACTGCCGTTGAGCCCCATTGGATCATACGCCTCAACGAACCGCGTGTCCTCCCCATCCCCATCCCCATCCCCATCCCCATCCCCATCCCCACCACCGTCACCGCCACCCCCTCCGCCATCATCAGCATCGTCGCTGCTCAGCTCAACCACGGCAAAGCGCTCCTTGCCTCCCACCCCACCCCCACCCTCAACCCCCCCTCTCCTCCCACCCACATCCTTCCCTCCCCCCTCACCCTCCCCACCACTCCCCCCTCCATCCGCCCTCCCCTCCTCCCCCGCCTCCCCCTGCGCGCCCCTGCCCGTGCGCCACGTCTTGCGGCAGTCCTTGATCAGATGCCCCGCCTCGCCGCACCGGAAGCACCGCCTGCCTTCCGCTGCTGCTGCTGCTGCCGCCTTGAACCTGCCCCCCGGACCATCAACCTTGTATCTGCTAGCAGGGCTGTCTCTAGCGAGGACGAACGAGGGGAAGTGGCGCGCAGAGGGGCATGCCTGCAGTGGGCGGGGGGGGGGAGAGGGAGGAGGGGGAGGGGGGTGGAGGGGATGGGGGGGGAGGGATGGGGGGTGGAGGGGATGGGGGGTGGAGGGGATGGGGGGGAGGGAGTGGAGGGAAGGGAAAGCGGGTAGTGAGAGAGTGGTTGTGTTGAGGTTTTGAAGTGCGAGGAGAAGAAGCAACGGGAGAAAGACAGGAGGCAGAAGGAGCGAGAGGTGCGAGGAGGAGACACGCACAGGGCAGGTGAGCACAGTGGGATGCAGGGGCGAGGCGACGAGGGTGACAGTGTATTGAAGAGTATTGACGTGTATTGACGTGTATTGACGTGTATTGAAGTGTATTGACGTGTATTGACGTGTATTGACGTGTATTGAAGTGTATTGACGTGTATTGACGTGTATTGACGTGTATTGAAGTGTATTGACGTGTATTGAAGTGGGGAACGGAGCACGGCGAGTGGAGCAGGAGTGTGAGCAAGGAGTGCAGGAGTGCCTCCCCACGCTGCCCCCTCTACCGCCCCACACTCGCCTCACCTCCCCGTGGTGGCCCCTGGCGCCACAGCAGCAGCACGACGGCTTGGGCGGCGGGTCTGCCAGGTCAGCGCACGCCAGGTGGCCCCACTGCAGGCACACGTGGCACTGCACCCTCGCCAGGTCAGCGGGGTCGTACGGCTGCCAGCACTCTCCAAAGACGTGGCCCTCGCCCCCGCACCTCATGCACTCCACCTCCCCGCCTCCTCTCCGCCCTCTCCTCCCCACCGCCTCCCCCTCTGCCTTGCCTTCTCGCCCCTCCTGCGCGCCCTCGGCCCCTCCTTTCCCATCGCCATGCGCCACGCCACCACTGCTGCCAGCGGCAGCCAACCCACCACTACCAGGGGCGGCATCAGAGCCAGCAGCGGCACAAGCAGCGCCATCCGCGCCCTGCTTGCCCCCGCCACCTTCCCCCCCCTTGCGCCACCACGTCCGCTCGGGGCACTGCCGCATCACGTGCCCCGGCTGCCGGCACCTCAAGCACATCACCCTCTCCGGGCACCGCCGCTCCGAGTGCCCGTAGTTGCCGCACACGCAGCACAGCACGCCCCCCCCCTCCCCCTCGTCCGCCCCACCCACTCCCCCCGCCCCCTGCTGCCCCCCCCCGCAGTGGTGCGAGAGCGTGCCGTCCAGCACGAGGCCGCAGAGGTAGCACTGGTGCTGGCCCTCCTCGGGGGTGAAGTAGCGCGGCAGCCGCAGCAGCCGCAGCATCTCGCGGCTCTCCCCCTGCGGCTCGCACTCGGGCTCACGCTGGGACCGGGTTTTGGACTGGGAGTGCGCCTTTGACTGGGGGCCGCCCTGCTGCTCACCCTCTGCTGTGCCGTCGCCTGCTGCGCCCTCTGCGCCCTTGACTTTCGCCCTCTTCTTCTTCCTTCTCTTCTTCGTCTGCTGCCCGTCCTCCAGATTTTCATTCTGCCCGCTCTCCAGATTTTCATGCTGCCCGCCTTCCAATGCCTCGATCTGCCTATCGCCCGTCCCTGTCGTCATCCCCTGCTCGACTCCCATTTCTCGCCGGCCTTTCATCCTCCTCCCCTTGCTGCTCTTCTCCGTCCCCACCACCTCCCTCTCACCCTCCCCCGCGCCATCCGCTGTCGCCCCACCTGCTCTCCCCGCGTCCCCATCCCGCGCCTCCGCATCTCCACCCACCACTTCCCCGCCTCCCCTCTCCTGCCCTTCTGACTCTTCCTCCTTGGCCCTCTCCGCTTCCACGTCCGCACTTGACCGTTCCACGTCAGCCCCTGTCTTTCCCACGTCAGCTGCTGTCTGTTCCACGTCAGCCCCTGTCTTTCCCACGTCAGCTCCTGTATGTTCCACGTCAGCCCTTGTGCCTTTCATGTCCATGCCAACCCTCGTCCATGCATCGCTTGCGTCAGCCCTCGAGTCGCTTACGTCAGCCCGCAAATGCTCCACGTCAACCCTTGCATGGTCCGCGTCAGACACCGTATCGCTTTCTTCTCGCCTCAAGTCAATAGTCGGATTCGCTTCTGTCACCTTCGCTTCTGTCAACTTCGCTACTGTAGCATCACCTCCGTGCTCGACCGGTGTGGCATGCGTCACTGCCGACTCGCCGTCGGCCGTAGCGTCCCTCCCACCCTCGTCCCTCGCCACAGCATCCCTCGCGTCGGCATCGCCAAGCCTATCACTTGCTTCGCTGCCGACTGCATCATCGTTTTCGGTTGTAGCGCCGTTATTGCTTATAGTGCTTTGATCAACTGTCGCGCGCGCATCGGCTGTAGCGCGATCGTTGGCTGTAGCGCGATCGTTGGCTGTAGCGGCGTGATCGGCATCAGCGCGTGGCAAGGCGGCCTCGCTCTCCACTAGACGCTCGACGCCCTCGTCTCCCGCTAAAACCCTCGCCGCACCCTTACACGCCTCTAAACCCCCCTCTGCCGCCTCAGGCGATTCTAAAACCCTCGCTGCCCCCTCCTGCGCGGTTAGACCCCTCGCCGCGTCCGCGTCTAAACCCCTCATTGTCCCCTCGCGCTCGCCTAAACCCCGCGCTGTTCCTCCGGGCTCCTGTAGGCCCGCGGCTGCCCCCTCATCCCCCCCCAGCGCCCTCGACGCGTGAAACAGGCGCTCGTACTGCGGAACCATCGACGGCGGAAGAACCGACGGCGGGGCGATGGGTTGCGGAGGAACGGCGGAGGGCGCGGAGGAAACCCCCACTCCCTCCGCCGGGCTCGCCTCACATGACATCGCCATTGCCGGCCGGCGCGCTCCGACACGCAACCGACGCGATCTGACTAACGAGCTTGCGAGGCAGCACTGGCGTTGGTCTGACAACAGGAGCGCCTGCGAGCCGAGGGACTGGCGGACGACGCGAGACGTCGAGAAGCGCGCCGAGCCTGCTGGCAAGCGGACGTCGCAGCGCGAGGAAGGCTTCTCACATGACCCGAGGATTCTGGAGGGCAACCCTAAGGCTGTGGCAGTGACGAGGGACCTGAGGGTGCACGCAGGGAGGAGGGTGGAGGAAGGGAGAGGTGGGTGAGGGAAGGCGGGTGTGCATCCCGCACGGCGCTGCAGTTGGGAGGAGGGGATGGTTGGGGCGGCGGTGACACGAGGCTGGGTTGAGGCGCGTTGATGGGGAAATGATTAAAAATGGGTCCTCCCTTGCCTAGAGGCGTGAGCAAAAAAGGTCCGGCAGCACTTTGCCCCGAGACCACTCTCTCCGAGTCTGTGCTACACCTTATTTGTCATACAATAGGCACACATCATAGGGTCACAAATTTGCAGGTTCATGGGGGCACTTCGTGTCGTCGTAACCCTGTGGTGGGACCTTTATACGAATTCAATGTCCTGTATTAGGGTCAAACAAAAAACTAAAACCCATAGGGGCACCGCATGCGACTCGGGGTGGCATCAACCCTAAACTCGCAAAAGGGCCGCGTGTTTAGGGTTGATGCCATCCAGAACGGAATCCGTCCCCAATGGGTTTTTAGTTTTTTTTGCCCGTTGAGAAATGTTGAATGGTACCGCAAACGTCCCGTAAATGTTTAAAGTAATAAACAAAGAAAGAGGTGTATTTCAGGTTAGAGGCAAGGTTCCTGGAGCAGAAAATAGCCGGACCTTTTTTGCTCACGCCTCTGGCAAAGCGAGGACCCTTTTTGATCATTTCCCGCGTTGATGCGTTGGTGTCAGCAAGCGATCAGAATCGCATGAAGCGGAATGTGCAAATCGTGTCGAAATCACATTCGTGGTAACGATGCAACCACTTTCGTCGTTGAGGACGACAGGGATTTCATTCTCGCTACACGGTGCGGATTGGCTGAAAGCTGCTGCTGGGAGCGCTTTGATTGCCAGTGGCTCGTTCGTGTCTCGGGCTTTCGGCAACCAAACCAAACCAGATGTCACTCATTTGAGCCACACCTAACCCGCGGTATTTTTACACCCAGTATTTTCACAGGGGGTGCCGCCGAGAGGGGATCATCCACCCCCCGAAAGCAGCTCCTGAAGACCAAATCCGGATACCGTAGAAAACAACCAGCACTTGGGTTTCTATACGAAACGTTTACTGCTCGATTTAGTGTTTCTCGAGTCTGGAAACCCGACATCAGCTTAGGCAGTGCTCAAAGTTTTTCCACGCGTGGAGTCTGCCAAGCTTAGGCCGTAGGAACAAGGGGGTACTGTCTACGCACTCGGAAATGGTCAGGGTGGAAACAAAAGTTTTTCTGCCGCCCAGTTTAGGGGTGTGAAATTACCGCGGGCTAGGTGTACCTGCAAAGAAAAGTCGGTCCTCAGATTACCAGATTGAGCCGCAGTGGAGTGGAGCGCAATGAGCGTCGTACGACCCTGCGACCACAGGCTCTTCCGCTCTTGAAGGAACTCGCGACCACAACCCCGCCGCACCTCGGCTTCCTCTGCGTCTTCCTCCCCTGCCGCGCACCGCTCTCTCGCTCATTCCCGCTTCTCGTTCCCCTCTCCGCGTTTTCCTCCGCCGGAGCTCGTCTCCCGCCTCGCGGCTTCCCTTCCAGCCGCTCCGCCCGCCCCGCTACTGTCGGCCGGCGGCGGCTGGCCGTGCCTTACCGGCCAGCCGTTTGTTTTAGACAATGCGCGAAGAGTAACTACGGCGAATCTCGCTCTAGATCCCTATCTCACCGCGCGCCCCTCGCACTCTCGCACGACCCGCCGCCGTCTCTCGCTCCCTCGCTCCCGCCCCCACCCACCCGCCCTTCACCCCGTCGCTCTCCCCCCCCTCTCTCGCGCCCTTTCCCCCACGCACGCGCCCCGCACTCGCACTCGTGCCACCGATCCCCTGCTAGCACCGTCACAGCGCCCACCATGCGTGGGGCCGCCCCGTTCCTCGCCGGATTCCTCAGCGCCGCCCTGCCGCTGCTCGCGCTGCTCGCTCTGCTCTCCACGCTCCTCCAATACCTCTCCCCGCGCCCCTCAGTAAGCCGCCCCTCAGTAAGCCGCCCCTCAGTAAGCCGCCCCTCAGTAAGCCGCCCCTCAGTAAGCCGCGCCTCAGTAAGCCACGCCTCACTAAAGACGCCTCTCACCCCTGCCATCTACGTTCAGCTTTATTCGGCGCTCCCTGTTCTCGCCGCTCTCTGCCTTGCTTATGGCTGCCCCCTGCTTCCCCATCCCCCCCGTCCCACCGCGCCTGCCAGGAGCTGCTATTGTGGAGGGAGGAAGCGCAGATGAGGAGGGAAGGGAAGAGCGCAGAGGTGATGCATGTCATGCCGTGCCCGCCCGCCCTGGCAGGAGCTGCTGTGGCAGTGGGAGGAGGCGCAGCAGCAGAGCGCCGATGCGGAGGGGGACATGCTGCTGGCCGCGCTGCGGAGAATCAAAGGTGAGCCTCTCCGCCTCTCCGCCTCTCCGCCTCTTCTGAACCTCTCCGCCTCTCCGCCTCGCCGCCTCTCCGCCTCTCCGCCTCTCCGCCTCTCCGCTTCTCCGCCTCTCCGCCTCTCCGCCTCTCCGCCTCTCCGCTTCTCCGCCTCTCCGCCTCTCCGCCTCTCCGCTTCTCCGCTTCTCCGCCTCTCCGCCTCTCCGCCTCTCCTTCTGACCCTCTCTGGGCGCTGCTTGAAGTGTCCGCCGCTGACCTGTGAATACAATGGATGGGTGGGCGGCTGGGGTGGGGGAGATGGGTGGCTGGGGCGGGAATGGGCGCCCTCGACCCCGAGTCATCGCCACAACCACCATCTTCGCCACACCCCCCCCTTCCCCTTCCACATCCTTCATCTTTCATCCGCCCTCCATCCTGCCCATCCATCCTACCCATCCATCCTGCCCATCCATCCTGCCCATCCATCCTGCCCATCCATCCTGCCCGTCCATCCTGCCCGTCCATCCTGCCCATCCATCCTGCCCGTCCATCCTGCCCATCCATCCTGCCCATCCATCCTGCCCATCCATCCTGCCCATCCATCCTGCCGTCCATTGCCATCCTGCCCATCCATCCTGCCCATCCATCCTGCCGTCCATCCTGCATCATCCTGCCCGTCCATCCTGCCCATCCATCCTGCCCATCCATCCTGCCCATCCATCCTGCCCATCCATCCTGCCCATCCATCCTGCCCATCCATCCTGCCCATCCATCCTGCCCTCCATCCTGCCCATCCATCCCTGCCCATCCATCCTGCCCATCCATCCTGCCCGTCCATCCTGCCCAATCCATCCTGCCCTCCATCCTGCCCATCCATCCTGCCCGTCCATCCTGCCCCATCCCATCCTGCCCATCCATCCTGCCCATCCATCCTGCCCATCCATCCTGCCCGTCCATCCTGCCCGTCCATCCTGCCCATCCATCCTGCTCATCCATCCTGCCCATCCATCCTGCCCATCCATCCTGGCCGTCCATCCTGCCCATCCATCCTGCCCGTCCATCCTGCCCATCCATCCTGCCCGTCCATCCTGCCCATCTATCCTGCCCATCCATCCTGCCCGTCCATCCTGCCCGTCCATCCTGCCCATCCATCCTGCCCGTCCATCCTGCCCATCCATCCTGCCCATCCATCCTGCCCATCCATCCTGCCCATCCATCCTGCCCGTCCATCCTGCCCATCCATCCTGCCCATCCATCCTGCCCATCCATCCTGCCCGTCCATCCTGCCCATCCATCCTGCCCGTCCATCCTGCCATCCATCCTGCCCATCCATCCTGCCCATCCATCCTGCCCTCCATCCTGCCCATCCATCCTGCCCATCCATCCTGCCATCCATCCTGCCCATCCATCCTGCCCATCCATCCTGCCCATCCATCCTGCCCGTCCATCCTGCCCATCCATCCTGCCCGTCCATCCTGCCCATCCATCCTGCCCGTCCATCCTGCCCATCCATCCTGCCCATCCATCCTGCCCATCCATCCTGCCCATCCATCCTGCCCATCCATCCTGCCCGTCCATCCTGCCCATCCATCCTGCCCATCCATCCTGCCCATCCATCCTGCCCATCCATCCTGCCCATCCATCCTGGCCGTCCATTCTGCCCATCCATCCTGCCCGTCCATCCTGCGCATCCATCCTGCCCATCCATCCTGCCCATCCATCCTGCCCATCCATCCTGCCCGTCCATCCTGCCCGTCCATCCTGCCCATCCATCCTGCCCGTCCATCCTGCCCATCCATCCTGCCCATCCATCCTGCCCATCCATCCTGCCCATCCATCCTGCCCATCCATCCTGCCCATCCATCCTGCCCATCCATCCTGCCCGTCCATCCTGCCCATCCATCCTGCCCATCCATCCTGCCCATCCATCCTGCCCATCCATCCTGCCCATCCATCCTGCCCGTCCATCCTGCCCATCCATCCTGCCCATCCATCCTGCCCATCCATCCTGCCCATCCATCCTGCCCGTCCATCCTGCCCATCCATCCTGCCCATCCATCCTGCCCATCCATCCTGCCCGTCCATCCTGCCCATCCATCCTGCCCATCCATCCTGCCCATCCATCCTGCCCGTCCATCCTGCCCATCCATCCTGCCCATCCATCCTGCCCATCCATCCTGCCCGACCATCCTGCCCATCCATCCTGCCCATCCATCCTGCCCATCCATCCTGCCCATCCATCCTGCCCATCCATCCTGCCCGTCCATCCTGCCCATCCATCCTGCCCATCCATCCTGCCCATCCATCCTGCCCATCCATCCTGCCCGTCCATCCTGCCCGTCCATCCTGCCCATCCATCCTGCTCATCCATCCTGCCCATCCATCCTGCCCATCCATCCTGGCCGTCCATTCTGCCCATCCATCCTGCCCTCCATTCCTGCCATCCATCCTGCCCATCCATCCTGCCCATCCATCCTGCCCATCCATCCTGCCCATCCATCCTGCCCATCCATCCTGCCCGTCCATCCTGCCCATCCATCCTGCCCATCCATCCTGCCCATCCATCCTGCCCATCCATCCTGCCCATCCATCCTGCCCGTCCATCCTGCCCATCCATCCTGCCCGTCCATCCTGCCCATCCATCCTGCCCGTCCATCCTGCCCATCCATCCTGCCCATCCATCCTGCCCATCCATCCTGCCCACCATCCTGCCCATCCATCCTGCCCGTCCATCCTGCCCATCCATCCTGCCCATCCATCCTGCCCATCCATCCTGCCCGTCCATCCTGCCCATCCATCCTGCCCATCCATCCTGCCCATCCATCCTGCCCGTCCATCCTGCCCATCCATCCTGCCCATCCATCCTGCCCATCCATCCTGCCCGACCATCCTGCCCATCCATCCTGCCCATCCATCCTGCCATCCATCCTGCCCGTCCATCCTGCCCATCCATCCTGCCCATCCATCCTGCCCATCCATCCTGCCCATCCATCCTGCCCGTCCATCTGCCCATCCATCCTGCCCGTCCATCTCCGCCCATCCATCCTGCCCATCCATCCTGCCCATCCATCCTGCCGTCCATCCTGCCCATCCATCCTGCCCGTCCATCCTGCCCATCCATCCTACCCATCCATCCTGCCCATCCATCCTGCCCGACCATCCTGCCCATCCATCCTGCCCGTCCATCCTGCCCATCCATCCTGCCCATCCATCCTTCCCATCCATCCTGCCCGTCCATCCTGCCCGTCCATCCTGCCCATCCATCCTGCCCATCCATCCTGCCCATCCATCCTGCCCTTCCATCCTTCCCGTCCATCCTGCCCGTCCATCCTGCCCATCCATCCTGCCCATCCATCCTGCCCGTCCATCCTGCCCATCCATCCTACCCATCCATCCTGCCCATCCATCCTTCCCGTCCATCCTGCCCATCCATCCTGCCCGTCCATCCTGCCCATCCATCCTGCCCATCCATCCTGCCCATCCATCCTGCCCATCCATCCTGCCCATCCATCCTGCCCATCCATCCTGCCCATCCATCCTGCCCATCCATCCTGCCCATCCATCCTGCCCGTCCATCCTGCCCATCCATCCTGCCCATCCATCCTGCCCATCCATCCTGCCCATCCATCCTGCCCATCCATCCTGCCCATCCATCCTGCCCGTCCATCCTGCCCGTCCATCCTGCCCATCCATCCTGCCCGTCCATCCTGCCCATCCATCCTGCCCATCCATCCTGCCCATCCATCCTGCCCATCCATCCTGCCCATCCATCCTGCCCATCCATCCTGCCCGTCCATCCTGCCCATCCATCCTGCCCATCCATCCTGCCCATCCATCCTGCCCATCCATCCTGCCCGTCCATCCTGCCCGTCCATCCTGCCCATCCATCCTGCCCATCCATCCTGCCCATCCATCCTGCCCATCCATCCTGCCCATCCATCCTGCCCATCCATCCTGCCCGTCCATCCTGCCCGTCCATCCTGCCCGTCCATCCTGCCCGTCCATCCTGCCCATCCATCCTGCCCGTCCATCCTGCCCATCCATCCTGCCCATCCATCCTGCCCATCCATCCTGCCCATCCATCCTGCCCGTCCATCCTGCCCATCCATCCTGCCCATCCATCCTGCCCATCCATCCTGCCCATCCATCCTGCCCATCCATCCTGCCCGTCCATCCTGCCCATCCATCCTGCCCATCCATCCTGCCCATCCATCCTGCCCATCCATCCTGCCCGTCCATCCTGCCCATCCATCCTGCCCGTCCATCCTGCCCATCCATCCTGCCCATCCATCCTGCCCATCCATCCTGCCCATCCATCCTGCCATCCTGCCCGTCCATCCTGCCCATCCATCCTGCCCATCCATCCTGCCCATCCATCCTGCCCATCCATCCTGCCGTCCATCCTGCCCTCCATCCTGCCCGTCCATCCTGCCCATCCATCCTGCCCATCCATCCTGCCCATCCATCCTGCCCATCCATCCTGCCCGTCCATCCTGCCCGTCCATCCTGCCCATCCATCCTGCCCATCCATCCTGCCCATCCATCCTGCCCATCCATCCTGCCCATCCATCCTGCCCATCCATCCTGCCCGTCCATCCTGCCCATCCATCCTGCCCATCCATCCTGCCCATCCATCCTGCCCGTCCATCCTGCCCATCCATCCTGCCCGTCCATCCTGCCCATCCATCCTGCCCATCCATCCTGCCCATCCATCCTGCCCGTCCATCCTGCCCATCCATCCTGCCCATCCATCCTGCCCATCCATCCTGCCCATCCATCCTGCCCATCCATCCTGCCCATCCATCCTGCCCGTCCATCCTGCCCATCCATCCTGCCCGTCCATCCTGCCCATCCATCCTGCCCGTCCATCCTGCCCATCCATCCTGCCCATCCATCCTGCCCATCCATCCTGCCCATCCATCCTGCCCATCCATCCTGCCCATCCATCCTGCCCATCCATCCTGCCCATCCATCCTGCCCATCCATCCTGCCCATCCATCCTGCCCATCCATCCTGCCGTCCATCTGCCCATCCGTTCCTGCCCGTCCATCCTGCCCATCCATCCTGCCCATCCATCCTGCCCATCCATCCTGCCCATCCATCCTGCCCATCCATCCTGCCCGTCCATCCTGCCCATCCATCCTGCCCCGTCCATCCTGCCCATCCATCCTGCCATCCATCCTGCCATCCATCCTGCCCATCCATCCTGCCCATCCATCCTGCCATCCATCCTGCCCATCCATCCTGCCGTCCATCCTGCCCATCCATCCTGCCCATCCATCCTGCCCATCCATCCTGCCCATCCATCCTGCCCATCCATCCTGCCCGTCCATCCTGCCCATCCTCCTGCCATCATCCTGCCCATCCATCCTGCCCATCCATCTGCCCGTCCATCCTGCCCATCCATCCTGCCCATCCATCCTGCCATCCATCCTGCCCGTCCATCCTGCCCATCCATCCTGCCCATCCATCCTGCCATCCATCCTGCCCGTCCATCCTGCCCATCCATCCTGCCCATCCATCCTGCCCATCCATCCTGCCCACCATCCTGCCCATCCATCCTGCCCATCCATCCTGCCCATCCATCCTGCCCATCCATCCTGCCCATCCATCCTGCCCGTCCATTCCTGCCCATCCATCCTGCCCATCCATCCTGCCATCCATCCTGCCCATCCATCCTGCCCGTCCATCCTGCCGTCCATCCTGCCCATCCATCCTGCCATCCATCCTGCCCATCCATCCTGCCCATCCATCCTGCCGTCCATCCTGCCCATCCATCCTGCCCGTCCATCCTGCCGCATCCATCCTGCCCATCCATCCTGCCCATCCATCCTGCCCATCCATCCTGCCCATCCATCCTGCCCATCCATCCTGCCCATCCATCCTGCCCATCCATCCTGCCCATCCATCCTGCCCATCCATCCTGCCCGTCATCCTGCCCATCCATCCTGCCCGTCCATCCTGCCCGTCCATCCTGCCCTCCATCCTGCCATCCATCCTGCCCGTCCATCCTGCCCATCCATCCTGCCCGTCCATCCTGCCCATCCATCCTGCCCATCCATCCTGCCCATCCATCCTGCCATCCATCCTGCCCATCCATCCTGCCCGATCCATCCTGCCCATCCATTCCTGCCCATCCATCCTGCCCATCCATCCTGCCCATCCATCCTGCCCATCCATCTGCCCGTCCATCTGCCCATCCATCCTGCCCATCCATCCTGCCCATCCATCTGCCCGTCCATCCTGCCCATCCATCCTGCCCATCCATCCTGCCCATCCATCCTGCCCGTCCATCCTGCCCATCCATCCTGCCCATCCATCCTGCCATCCATCCTGCCCGTCCATCCTGCCCATCCATCCTGCCCATCCATCCTGCCCATCCATCCTGCCCATCCATCCTGCCCATCCATCTGCCCATCCATCCTGCCCATCCATCCTGCCCATCCATCCTGCCCATCCATCCTGCCCCATCCATCCTGCCCGTCCATCCTGCCCATCCATCCTGCCCGTCCATCCTGCCCATCCATCCTCCCATTCCATCCTGCCCATCCATCCTGCCCGTCCATCCTGCCCATCCATCCTGCCCGTCCATCCTGCCCATCCATCCTGCCCATCCATCCTCCCCATCCATCCTGCCCGTCCATCCTGCCATCCATCCTGCCCATCCATCCTGCCCGATCCATCCTGCCCATCCATCCTGCCCTTCCATCCTTCCCATCCATCCTGCCCGTCCATCCTGCCCATCCATCCTGCCCATCCATCCTGCCCGTCCATTCCTGCCCATCCATCCTGCCCATCCATCCTGCCACATCCATTCCTCCGTCCATCTGCCCATCCATCCTGCCCGTCCATCCTGCCCATCCATCCTGCCCATCCATCTGCCACCATCCTGCCCATCCATCCTGCCATCCATCCTGCCATCCATCCTGCCATCCATCCTGCCCATCCATCCTGCCCATCCATCCTGCCCGTCCATTCTGCCATCCATCCTGCCGTCCATCCCGCCCATATCCATCCTGCCCATCCATTCCTGCCCATCCATCCTGCCCTCCATCCTGCCCGTCCATCCTGCCGTCCATCCTCCCATCCATCCTGCCCGTCCATCCTGCCCATCCATCCTGCCATCATCCTGCCATCCATCCTGCCCATCCATCCTGCCCATCCATCCTGCCCCTCCATCCTGCCGTCCATCTGCCCATCCATCCTGCCCATCCATCCTGCCCATCCATCCCTGCCCATCCATCCTGCCCGTCCATCCTGCCCGTCCATCCTGCCCATCCATCCTGCCCATCCATCCTGCCCATCCATCCTGCCCATC